AGCCGAAAACTGAGTTGTGATCAAATTTCCATTTACTTTTCGTTCGCGCATCTCCCAAGTTTCGTGTCTTGGGAGACTGTAGTGCAAAGTGTTGTTGTGGAAAGGTTCGTTAGTCAGCCTGCAAACCTTGATGTGGCTAGTGTAGGTTTAATAGCTTGCATGTAGAAATACTGTTATTATTGCTGTAGCTATAGTCGTTGTGATTGTCAAATTTTTGCTTTTGTTGCTTATATTTACGGTGTGGTTCAATACCCATTAGCTTGTTAGGCGGTCTTTTCAGAACAACCAAATCATGGGTCATCAAACACGAACAACCTTCATCCTGTACCACCAACCACCTCTGATATTTTCCTGCTAACATAGCACTTCAGTGTAGAAGGACGTTTTTTGAAGTAAAACAACGAGCCGAGCGATTTCAAAATAAAGTTTCAAGTGAACTAGAATATTAATTAATACTATGGTCACATCTACATGTTATCTATAATGTAAAATTAAAAAAAACATTTTCTTATTACGAGAATTACTTTCACATCGAGATTATCGAAAAGTGTAAACCATGACTTCTATTTTACCTACCTCGTTGACTTCACTAACGGCTATAAGTGTAATAAGTATCTTCAATTTGTACAGATATTTTATGGGGTTTGGGGAAGATATACACCTTGAATGAAATACAAAAACTGTGATACTGGATATAAGATCATTTGTAAAAGATATTTTGCATCGAAAAGACTAAATGATTGATTTTCTTTAGATAATGGAAAGTAAGTTTGTCAAAATAATACAGTTCAGAAGGTACGAGTGTTGCCTTTTTTATTTCAGGATTAGAGAACAAAAAAATATTAATCATCGAAAATCACTTGATTGTTTTTCAAAATAATCCCCATGAAGATCTATACACTTTTGCATGCATATGAACCAATTGTCGAAGCACTTTTGCCACTCTGATTCAGGTATCTCCAAAACATGCATTCTGAAAGCAGCAACCGCTTCTTCAGGTGTCGAAAAACGTTGACCTCTCAGTTTGTTTTTTACGTACCGGCGAATAAAAGAAGTCATTCGGGGCCAAGTCAGACTATACGGCGGCTGACTCATCAAAATCGATGTTTTGGTGTCTCAAAACTGCAGTTGTTTGAGCCGATGTGTGAGAGCTCGGGCAGTTGTCGTGGTGAAGGGTGATTCGGTCTTCGCTGGTTGGTTTTCCCTGATTTCTTGGAAGACCAGCTGGCAACAAATCGTTGTGTACCACTCAGAATGACTGTTCTTGTGTTGTTCTAGTGCGTAACGCGTTGCGACATATGCTCAGTTTTTCGAAAAAACAAGCGACATCTGTTAGGAAGCTTCTGTGGCGCGAACTTTTGTTGGATTTTGCTCATCTTGAAACACCCATACAGTCGACTGCTGTTTACGTTCGGCGCTCATACGCTTTAATCACAATTCATCAACTGTCATGATTCATAGACGTGCTTCGAAGCACGCGGACCGTGTTTTTGAGTATTTCTTTCGTTCATCGACACGGAGCCTTTTTTGAGCGATTGACAAATTGATGGTGAGATCCAAGGGCCCGAACAATTTTCTTTGACAGTTCAATGTTCATGCAATATTGAATGTATGCTGGTCCACTAATTTAAGTGGTCTCAAATTTACGATAGGTCACTGACGATCTTGGCTAATATAAGTTTACGCACAGCATCAATGCGTTTTTCGGTAAACAACAACTGATTTTTGGACGACCCTCGCGAAAATTCGTCTGGAGTGTACTTCGACCACGGATTGAATTCACCATACCATCGATAAACACTGGTCCTTGATGGAGCTTCATCGCCAAAAACTGAATTAAGTTCAACCATGCACTGTTGCTGAGTCAATCCACGTCGAAAGTTGTAAAAAATAATCGCACGAGAATGTTCACCATTTAATTCCATTTTTGGGCCAAGATGAATCCTTTTAAGTTACTGTAAACAACGCAAATAGCGCTCGTATGTGAAAAAGTTCTGAGTACGTGTAATCTCAAAACATCCAACTTTACGATAGAGCTGTCAGTTGCCATATTGCAACACAAGGGTTGCCAACCCCCCGAAATATAAAAGGCAACCTTCGTATCCATACATTACACCTATTTGTATTTTTATATGTACTAATCAAATTTATTTTATTTTGTTTTAAAAGTCTAGCATAAGTTTCAAAATTATAAAGCATGTCCACTTTACCTCGGGAAATTTGAGTTTTCAATTTTTGCATCTCTATTTTTTCGTTTAAATAATGATGTGTTAAACGATTAGCTACGTAATCTAACCAAGAATCTAGCCTATGATTGACCCCAATAGCAAAACTGTAATTTCTTTCGAAGGTAGGATTCTTATACGAGTACTATTATAAACAATTTCATTGTGTTGATTCTTTATAAAACTCGTTCTCAACCAACAAATAAACGTACTACATAAAATTTAAAAAAATATTTAATGACTGAATATGGAACGAGATTGTCAAAATTGTTTGTTAGAATTACTGAGGATGCAGTCGTTCAGGCCTGTCCGAGTTTCGCGCTCGCTGAATCGGCTCGCAATTCGCAAGAGCGATTCTTATGGCTCCGCTCGCACACGCCGCGGCCCGCCGTCCTCTACACGCCTCTTCCACGAACAGGATGAGTGGCTTAGGACGGAAAATCCGGTTTTTTAGAAGGATGGCGCGTACTGCATTTATACAGAAGAGAGAACGAATAATTCCGGAGTACATTTTCGTTAACAAAATAAACTCAGCTAATTAATGAATAATGGGTGTGCTTTAAAATATATGAATTCTCTTCCATAATACACAATCTACTTTGAGCATAATCTACTTTTTACTAGAAAATTTATAAATATTTACCCTAATTTGCATTTGAGGTAGGTATATATTGTTACATTTGATGTTCTTTCCGAAAGGTGTTTGATGATGAGTTTTTCTTGCTGCTTGTTGCAAGAAAACAACTTATTTTAATGAATCATACATGTGTTCTGAGGCTACTCATAACGGAAAACGACTGCTCGCATGTTTGTAGAACCAAGTCACAGGAAACCAGTAACTAATTATGCAGAATGTTCGGACCCATTATACTGATGCCTCTGCAGGCGCCATTGTGTGAATTTCGCCAAAAAGCGCTGAGCTGGCCCTTCGAGATTTCCCTTCCCCTCACCGGGCTCATGAGCTCGCTCACGAGCTACGGCCGCTCCTTTTTTTGTGAACACCACACTGTACAGAAAGTGCTCTAACAGAAAGGCTAGATCAATAACAAACTATTTCTTGTGAAACATTTTTTTCTTTCTTCTTGATGCCTTTCTTGGTTCTTTGTGGCATGATATCAACCAAGGTAAGACCGTCTTATCTGCTTCAGTATAGTAACTATTAAGCTAATGCGAGTACAAACAGTTAACTAATCAAAATAATTCTAACAAAAGATTAATTTGGGATCTAACTTGTTCCGGCTGTCAGCGTCAACATCGTCCTTGCAGCTTAGTGGATCGGGAGGTTTGATGGTTCGATTCCCAGCGTCAGTGGCAAAGTATTGAACCGAACTAATATAAAATCAACCATTGTCTCGCAAAGAATTCTAGTGGCCCCTTGGCCTGATCTGTGATTTTCGTTGTTTCTCCGCCCAATAGCTGGGGAATGCGGAACCACAACTCTAAAAATCGGGCCATGAAGCGTGCGCGATCTATTCCTCCTCATTATTGTCCTCCCTTCGTCTTACTCTTGCGTGCACTACATATGTCGGGAGAAAAGTCATGAGCTAGTCCCGGCTGGACTCGTGCTCTGATGACAGAGATATCTAGAGAGGGAAATTTTATTGCTTTTATGTGTTGATTTAACATCAAAACAGTTATAAAAACGAAGTGAGAAGAGTGTTCTGTACACGTTTTATTAATTTCTGGAATCCAAAATCTGATCCACATACAAGATGTATTCTGAATATGGACGGAAATGAGCGTTTTTGGCAAGAAACGATAAGAAAAATTCGCTTCCGTGTAATACAAACTATTTTCCAAGGCAAATCAGCTGTAAATTTGTGTTATTACCCTCATTGTGCCCGTTGTGAAGGTGACTTACTTAATGCCGCGAGACAATAGAGATCGTTAATTTGAATAACTAAATTTCTCACTGAACACGGATAGTGAAGTTACATTGATGTCCAGAAGGGGCCATCTCAGCATGCCCTCAAAGGATCAGAGAAACTAGACGATAAACCTGATCAAAATGGAGGGTCATTGACCTTGAAGCTGAGATACAAAAACTTGTTACAGGCATATTTATTATTTTAGAATTTTACAATCCAAATGGTGACTCATACATAAAGTATCGAAGTTTAAGTTAATATTAATTTCTTTTGGGTGCTTGGTGGCTGATATCTAATTTTACAGAAACAGTTATGCAGAAGTATTTACTGGACATTTAAACTTGAGTATCAATTTTAATCGTTTAATAACATCTGGCAATGTGTTGTGAAATAATGTCCATGTATTGTACATGAATTTGTATTGCAAGACGACGTGTACATCGACGCCGAATCTTTCTAGCGCTGGAGAAGCACCCCCCACCTAACGGGATATAACATGCACTACACTTACGCAGCTAATAATCTCAGAAATTAACGCGCCCGAAATCAATGCTCACTCACTGACCTGATTTGTGTTAATTATTAACTAAAACTTGAATAATAAACAAAGATGAGATGGATCAAATAATTTTCAGATAACTGAAAAATATTGATATTGTCTTAAAATAAATTTTGTTTGAAAAGTAAACAAAAATTGAACAAATATTTTAGATCGCTTTTTAATTTCCTTACACGTAATGGATTCTACAAACTTTGTTTTAGGGTGTATAAAAAACAATGGTGGCACAACTAGATACATTTCACTTCGTAAAAAGTAATATTTTGGAAGCTTGCGAAGTGGAGGTAAAACAAAATGAAATGAGGGGGGGGAAATGGAATTACATACATGGAAATATACACACGTCGGGGCGATACCTATAAGGAAAGTTCTCGGGAAGAAAAGGAACTGGATATACCATAAAGAATAACATATTATATAATATTCAGATGCCAAGTTTATTTCAACATAGCAGAAGCACAGATAATTTTAACATGCTATTTTTTTTATTTACATGTCGTTGTATTTGCACTTTTTTTCGTGACTTAGCATTGTTCGCTTGAACCAGATGAAAAATGTCCAGGCCCTCAACGGTGGTAGTTGCAATAGAAAATGGCGTTCTAGGTGATCCAGTGTAATTGTAGATCCCCCAAAAGGCACATTGTACTGCCACCTATTTGTCACTCACAGCTTAGCACGCGCCGTCGTGGAGTTTACGCAAGCCTGCAAAAGAAAAAACTTTCATTATTATTATTATTATTATTATTATTATTATTATTATTATTATTATTATTATTCTCTTGTGTAACGGTTATTGTGTGCCTCCAAGAGCAAATGAAACTAAATACAATAATGCGACTCAAGTGAAGGTTTCACAATAGGTCTTAAAATACTTAAAAATATATTAAAAGGTATTAATTTACATTTAAATGTTATTAACCACTTTCTCTTTCACATTGTTATATGAATAACATTTATACGATCTCCTTAAAATTGGTAGGCTTAACAATATAGCATTAAAATTAATAATTGCGTTCTCATGATGTGTTTTCCAAAGAAAATTCCTTTTATTTTAATACTTGCAAGTTAAATGCATGTAATATTCCCGAATGCAGAGTTTTTGAATGAATGCTTTTTCTCACGAAAGTCTTGTCAAACATTGTATTATTACAGAAAAAGACATTAGTAAAACGTATTAATATTTCGTGAAATATTTCTTATTTTAAGAGAAGACAAACTAGATACTTTAAATAATGTACTACCTAGTTATTCACCTTACAGTGTTGACTGTTCACATTTCAAATATTTCCAATTAAATTAGGTTTTACTGCGTACTTGGAATGAATTGGAATAACAAATTTTGTTTTGCGTGCAATGAAAAGCTCACAGAGATTAACCCATTATAATATCGATGAATACTCGTGGTTTATTTTTTTTTATATTTCTTCACTTGTCCACTGCGCGATTCACTAAATCAGGAATTGTGTCACGTTTGCACATTCAATTGATTTGCTTTTATTTGGACTCCAGGCGGCTGGCTTGTTAAAAATCTCTTCCTTGCCCTATACACACCCCTGACTTACAACTTATATGCACTATACTACCACATATGTCCGGAGACCAATTGGTGGCTTAGAGCTTGTGGAGACTGGGGGAGACATCTGGCCGGGTGTAATGATTGTAATCATACATTTTTTAAATTATATAGGTACTTTGATCATGACGCATTCCACTGGGAAGTATCCATTAATATGGATACTTAGGCACGTGGGTTCTTGAGACATGAGGTCACCCGGTAGCAGCCCCCAGCTTCAAGAGTAAGCCCTTAAGGTGACGGACGACATGCCCGGAGTAGAAGCATGAACACAGAGAGGCGGTTCGACGCCCCGTGGCCACGTCATTTTTGGGGGAGGGAGGCCACGTGCCACCCAAGTGGAAGCGTATGATGAACAAAGACCTGAGTACTGTAAAATACGCCCACGGACACCGCCCGGGGGACTCTCGGAGCTACCGTTTACTTGGAGGTCTCCACGTCACTTTGATGTAACTTCATTTCTGTGTAAGTAAAGGACTCTTGCTTCGCCATTTGCTAAAACATATTTTGTCTTTCATTTTCACATGTGCTGAATCACCATTCTCAAGTCTTCTGAAGGGACTTAGCTCCCAAGGACCCATAAATTTAAATAATTTGTGATATGCTTTTGCTGCTTTAACTGCGACGCCCGGCCTGCCTCTATCATTGCGAGTGCAATGAGCAATTCAAGCATTACACGGGGAAATTCCTCGCAAGCCGACGTGTGGATCGGTGCCGGTTTTCCCCATCCATTGGAGGAGGAACACCGCCATCACCAGGCATGAACACATTTACAGTGGCTAATGGCCATTGAAGATTTGTCCGGACACATCTATCAGTCAAACAGCTAGTCAAGTGCAATGTTTATTTATGTAATTCAAAAACAGATAAAAACTGAGTGTGACGTGCTATGGGGAGAAGTTAATTTGAAGTTACATTTATGACCAGAAGCAAAACACGGGGCCATCTCAGCATTTGCTCGAGGATCTAGGAACTGGACGAAAATCTGGTCGAGATGGGGGTCATTGACCCAGAAGCCGAAGTACAATACTTGTTAGAGGTTTTTACAACTATACAATGTTAATTGGTCCACTTACCGTCTTGGCGTCGGCGGGTACTGGCCGTGAGGAGGCAGTCATTGTCGAAGGTGTTCTTCGCGCCCGAATGGTCTTCGGCGCACACAGGGCTGTACAACAGCGGACAGACAACCGGCGGATGGATCACTTCCTCGTCGCCGCCGCCGCCAACCGCTTTATTTTGATTTTGATTAGCCCCTCTCCCCTCCAACACCGCCCCCACAGCCAGCATCCCTGCAACACAAGAAGGAGACAACCGTTACTTTTGTTGAGAGGAAACCACTCCTCCATTTATTCCATTCTATGGCTTGTGATGTTGAACTAACTTTATTCACTATATTCATCTTTTTCAACGTTTCTCACTAACCAAAATTGTTTTGTGCAAAAAATATCACGATATGCGTTGACTTGTATTAATTAAATCGACAGATCATTGAATAAAGAATCGGTACTACCTCTAATCTATCACTAGAGGAAACAACAGTAAAAGGTTCTGCATATGGTGAGAAACGAGATACCTTCTTAAACAATTTTATTTAAGCACATACCATCGTGAAACGTTCAATATTTGCCGTATGCTTTCACTATAGCTAGCGCATATTTCGAACAGGGTTCATCGTTTCGCATTGAACCAGATACGTTCGTCAATACCATGTCGTGTTACACTGTTCCATGGTGATTGTCTAAAACTGCTGCTTTGAGTGCGTAGGATTGAAAAATTCACTATCAGTGCAATTATTATGTTCATAAATGCTCACTCAATTTTCGCAATAGAACGTGAAATGACGGCTGGAGTAAAATTTTCATCTCCTTCATGAAGAAACTTACTAATTAAAATCACAACAAAGTATGGTTTAGCTGAAGGCTCTAAGTATGACAGCTGAACTTCTTTAAATAACTCAAATTGATATTGTAGCAGTTGTTTTGTATTAACATACGAAATATAAATAATTAAAACACCAAAAAAAAATAAATCAATTGAAATTATTCAAGCAATCCCAACAGCGCCTCGCCAGCAAATCCAAACAGTTTCACCAACCAAATCAAACGGACCATACGTGTATTTGTAGACGGTACTTACCAAAAAGCGTGTTATGCGTAAGATGTTCCAGCCCCTCCAATCCCTCTTCCCACTGAAACCTATTACCCCGCCACCGCATGACGAGAGCTATTGCATGCACATGCTACAGAGAAGAAAAACAGAATCCCGGAGGCGGGACGCGCGAAGCGGTTAAGTAGCCGCGCCGAGGCGCCACGCCCCCTCCCCCTCCTCCTCCCCCTCGCGGGCACTCCCCGCACGTGACGCGCACGGCTTATCGCGCGTTATCCGGAATATCTCGCCCGGCACCTCCGGCTTCCTCGCCCAGTGCCAGCGCTACACTCGCGTATTTCGGGCGATACAAATACACGCGTCGGTCAAGATCCCAGACGAATCAGAGAATCCTGGGGGGGGGTGCGCACGAAGGCTATCATCCAAATCAACTTTTTTGTCGTAATTTTAGTCAATGTATTCAAAATAATTACCGTAGTATCCTTTTCTAATATATGTGATTCTAATGATATATATATATATAATCACATCCAGAACCAAGTATTTCATCATGATTTAGTCTGTATTTTTCAAGCTAGCAAGTTAAAATTTCTAAACTGATTTTAAGGAAAGGACCGCATTAAAGATTGAGCAGTTTCACAGATGATGTAACTTGAACATCATACACTTTCATCAGGCACTTTCCAGCTTGCCTTGCTCGGGTATTTCTCGAGCGTAATTGCACTTTCATTTATAATTTCACGTGCGTCTTTCCATGATATCCAGCGACCTATATAATATTTCTTTAAGAATGATATAACATTGAGAGAAAGAATAAGCAGTGAAAGAAATTATCGCATTAAAATCCGTAAATTGCCACAGCTACTTTGTAAGACAACCCCGCGCATTAGTGTAAGATGCATGTTTAAATATGTTGTGAACTGACGCCGGCACTGCTAAATATACATGAAATAAATATATCACCATTTCTGAACTAGTTTTGATACAATGCCGAAACAATGGTGAGCAATTCCTAATTTTCATTCTATTCATCAAAACTTCAATTGACTACATCTCTTGAAATGTTTGCAAATCACTGAGTTCTATTATTCGGTGTCATTTTAATCAGGAGAACGAAGAAAGATGAGAAAAATATGGAAATAAAGAGGTAGAGAGAAATATTAATGGATATGAGCAGAATGAGGAGGAAAACTAAACGACAGAGAAGAATAGAAAATGAATGAGAGAAGGAAGGAATGAAATAAATTAAATAAATAAATAAATAAATAAATAAAATAAATAAATAATAATAAATAAATATAAATAAATAAATAAAATAAATAAATAATAAATAAATAAATAATAAATAAATAAATAATAAATTAAATAAATAAATAAATAAAATAAATAAATAAATAATAAATAAATTAATAAATAAATAAAAAATAATAAATAAATAAATAAATATAAAAATAATAAACAAATAAATAGAATAAATAAATAAATAAATAATGAAATAAATAAAAAATAAATAAATAAAATAGAAAGAAGAAAAGTGAATATAAGAAGGTGCTCAGGTGACAGAACCGACGATAGTGCGCTGTGCGTGGGCGGTGCGTCAGCACCCGTGCGTAAGGGACTCCTGCGCCACGCGGATTGCCTGCGCGACGCGTGTCGTGTCGCCACGTAGTGGCGGCGCGTGGACGCTGCCCAGTCGGCACGTCGCAGCCATCGGAAGGAGGAAGCCCTCGCTGACCGAAGAATCGCATAGCGTTCTCATGACAGCCCCCCCCCCTCCGAAGCGCTGCTCTTGTCCAAAGCGCCACGGGCAAGGCAACTTCATCGTAGAGAAGTCGACCACGAGCACGAATGTTGTTCTAAGGTGATCATGGATTTCAATCCTTCCTCGTTGCAGCGCACGACGTTTATGTAGGAAAACGTCCCTGAAGCTGAATTTCCTCCGAGATCTAGTTTACTATCGATCAACAGTCTGTTGCATTCGACTTGAGCTATCTCTCACCACCGGTACCACCTCGAATATCCTTGTTGACCACTTCACCCTCAGCACTTCTCTACCACCACACACACCAGCACGAGTGCCCAGAGAAAACTGGGCAGTAGATCCACAGGGATTTTCTCTTATTTACATAAAGTTCTCTCGCCAATACATAACCTATAATTCAAACGTATAACCTACCATAAAAGTATACTTACAGAAATAATACTGATGGGCTGTTGTTTTTAGATAGAGGTAGAAACAACTTTTTTTTCGAATTTAAAAAAATTCGTAGGCCTCAATGAGTCGAGGCCTGGGATTACGTTGCCTAATCTGCTTCTGCCGTTTGGTACCATGTACCACCTTCTGCCACAACGCTCTCACAAACTCGCACCATTCACACCTTAACCCACCCACATCCACACCACTACTTCCTCCACCACCATCTTCCTCCGAGATGTCAGGCGATGTAAAGGCGCGGAGCGTTGCATCTTCTAACTGGACTATTCTCCGAATCAGTGAAAATAGCTTTCGTAACGAATCTTGTTATAAACATCTGATGATAATATTGGCACGGGGAGCTATCTTTTCTTCATCATGTGTATTAGGCGATTTAGGAATATTCCCTGTAACCCGTATTCCCTCCTGTTAACTATTCAGATCAATCAGCTCTTTGGGGGAAGCAGTATTCCACACGTCCGCATCGCAACAATGTCTTCACGTATTTGCCTGTGCCAAGCACCGTACAATCTTACAAAGCAACTTGCCTCGCTTTTTAGGCCCCGTAGTTAGAGTGTTAAGCACGGATAGCTCTAATACGCATTAGCAATTACTATAACTATACGCGGTCAGATCCAATGTCCTTCACGCACGACTTGTTTCTCCCGCGCGATGTCAAAGAGGGGGGAGGAAAGTGTTTCGCTTCGGAAATCTCGTGGGCATATATCTTCGTCTAGCCCGTCAACATCTGTTTGAGCAAGATTTAGTGGTACTTACGTATAGATGTAAGCGTTATGAACGCTCTGTATTCGTAAGAACAGGACGGAATACGTAAAATGGCTCGATTAAGGACGAGAATGTGAAATTTCCTTTTACTGGATATGTAAACGGAAATGCTGACTAACCAGTATCTTTAATCTGCGCCTTGGCAAAATTTGCTACCCCCTATCACTTCGAAATCGATTATACTCTCTTATTGAAGACAACTTTTAATGATATAAAATATGTTCTTCCGGTGTTATTGCCTACGTCCGTTCCAGAGAGGAGAATTTATGAAACTGAGTTGAATAGTATAAGATATGACTATAACATGAAGTGATACATTGTAGTGTGCTATCAACTTAGTTTCAAAATTATTCTATGTAATATTACATAAATTTCGCATGCTATATGCAGTTTTTATTGTTTGAAGTTTCCAGATTATTTTGTATTTTTTTTGACATTACGACACTCTATAGAACATGAAATTAGAACATTCATACCTGAACCCGTTTTTATTAAGAAAGTGGGTTAATGTCTGCAAAGAAGGCGTTTTTTTGTAAATGATTATTTTTATTATGATTATTGATTGTTTTATTAGTTGAATTGATTTTTGATTGATACCATTGTGAACACACATTCTTATTTTGCTTATTTTATGTACGCTGTATTCAATCGTGATATTAAATAATAGTTTGTTTAACTATACATATAAAATGTACCAATCAGGGGCAAGTGTATCTAAAAAAATCGCTTTTTCATCCGATTTTTCTTACTGCCTCTCCCTACTGCAATATAATACTGCGACTTATGTATCTTAAGAGGCAGATTCAATCGATCGCTGGTTTTTGCAATAAACGCGGCAGGTTCTATAAAATAACCTCTTTGGATTTTTAATAGGCTTTCAGTTTTTAATATTTGGGCTTTTGTGCATTTTTGGAACGTAATTTCATTCGTGAATATTATATTCTGAAATATACCACTCGTGCTGTGGCATTTTCATGGTAAAAATTCCTCCTCGCTTCGCTAAGTTCGGGGATTTATCACAATTTCCAAGCGCTTCGGTATTATTACTATCAAATCAACGGGTAACATGCCATTTTTTATTATGTTGATTACTTCATAACTTTAACTGAAGAAATGTAAAGAAGATTAAAATCTTTTATTGTTTTCTTCTCTAGATAAAAACAATAAAAATAATTCTAAAAAATTTTATATGACATGAAACGAGGAGAAAACGAGAAACTAGAAATCTTTCAACATACAAAATAGAATTTAAATGGCTCAAATTGGAAGCTTATTTTGTTGTGAAAAATTTGAATGAGGTGGAGCTGACCGTAGGGATTCGTTTCTGTACTTGTCATTGATTATACGCGACCGCAAAATCAGTTTTAATAACTAACAAACTAATATTTTGTAATACTTTGCTATTCTTCTGCATTTCTTTATTGAGCATTTATTGCGTATCTGGTCCTGTCTAGCATCGTTAATTCTTTTGAGTTCACGCATCCTGTGAGATTATCTCTGGTCCTTCACACAGAGGTTTCTTTTTCTTAAGGCTGACTCAATATTGGGCGGTCAGATAATCTATATGAGAAAATCAAGCAAGAAAGCAAATCTATTTAAGTCTATGAATTTCCGCTGAATTCTTAATAAAATTTTTTAAAAAAAAGTTTACCAAACATCAATTGACAAAACTAGATAATTTAACTAATATGATCGAATAATAAATTATGTAAAGTATTAAAATTAATAATGAAGATGTTCTACGTCATTACTGAATTTTAGCTTCAAGGAGATAAAAGCAATCAGTCCGATGTACTATCTTTTCCGTGATTAGTCTTCCCAAGGTGAGATAAAGTGACCAAGTGTAGTATACTTTCAGCAACGTGACAAATCTCGTATAATTAAAGAAATTGTATTTTAATACAATACACACGATTTCATGCAATTTCTTTTAATGTTTCTTATATTCGTCGTGAAATAATCTTCATTGACAGAGATTCTATAATTATTCAAATTTCACTAACGATCAGCTAAACAAAATGTTTTTATTATCATTTTGACATTATTTCAGTGATAATGATTTTATTGGTTGTTAGATATATTTTATAATGAATGTTTATTCAGTATTAAGTTTTCGGACAAAAAACTACTTATTTCTGACGTAGATGTCATGATGAAGCAAAGGAAAGCACTCTTGAATTTTTCATTTGATTTGATTTATTTTCATTAAAGAAACCCAAAACTATTCCGAACTATGGGGGAGAAGTATTTAAATTGCACATACTTTGCGTAAATATTTGAATATTTATATCATAAACTATTCTAGTGTTTACATAAACTTTAGATATAATACTCTGTAATAAAATAGATTAATAATATGACAAAGTTTATGTAATAAGTTATCATGTAAATCCTCGTTACTCAACTGCTTAGCAAGAGACTTAAATATTTCATCATGGATTTTGAACGTCTTCCAGCACTATTTAACTTTTTTAACAAATCAACGAACTTAAAAGACCAAATTACTATATTTTCAATGTTAAAAGCTGCTACACATTGGATGCTCAAAGTTACTGTAACAATGAATTCAGAGGTCAAACAGTAAGGTAAATTATTCAAAAGCATGCGGCAATTTGCTGGCACAGAAAAACAATAATTTCTAAATTAATTTGAAGGGAATTTCTTAAAATATGAGTAATTTTAAACTACCCGAGACGTACACAAAGACGTGCGAACGAAAAAGATTTTGACGCAGAAGCTATCATCAGCAATCAAAATGCTAGTTATGAGACATCACCACTTAGGAAACTAATTATGTTTTGGCCTATGTATCTCTGACTTCTCATATTGATTGAAAATAATTTTATACTCATATTTTCGTATGATATTTATTATTCATTACTTTATTATTATTATTATTATTATATTATTATTATTATTATTTATTATTTCTCTGTAGCTTGTGCTTGGGTTTAATCTGCCATTCCTGCTTCATTCAAGGAAGAGCTCGTCACTGGGGGAGAGAGATTTTTACTCTAACCCCCAAAGCGATATGGGGATTATTATTATTATTCTTATTTAAAATTATTATTTTATTATTTATTATTTATGTTATTACTGAACTTGTTTGTAACAGCGGCTGACCACTCACCCAGCATTCACAAGATACAGCGCTGCGACTGCTTCATCTCTGCTCCGTTGGTGATCGCGATGGTAGTCGGGAGCCGGGGTCGCTGTGGGGGGCGGGCGACTGTTGGGTGGTTTGGCGAGCTTATCTGCGCTTATCTGCGCCATGGAGCACCTATGAGAGCGCGAACCGGTTGGCCCTGCGGGCGGCCGTCGGCCCTTTTAAAGGCCCCGCAGCTGCTACGCGCAGTGCACAGGGACTTATGTCCAAGGGGATGAAGTCACTGGCTCCGTGGAGGGCACTGGCGAACGTCGTTCACAACTCCTTGCTCATTAGCCTATATCTTTTTTTTCTACATTATATGATCTTGTTTATACCGATTAGTGGCGCGGTGCACTATTCGGGGCACGCGACCTCTCAATCGACTCGTCATCATCATGGACTCTTTAAATTCTATCGACCTTCATAATATTAGCTCCATAACAATTTAGCTTCGGTAAGACAGAAATGGTTACTTAGTTAGGGGATGAGGAAACATCCTTTTCATCTGTAGGACGGAAGAAGTTCTGAACTTTTGAATAACGCTAACTGACGTTGCGATATTTTCATTGACAGATTAGTTATGAAATGCATTTCACGAGTCAAGAGGGAAGTGGCACTATCTATGTTAGTACTCTGCCCCACATAATCCTAATCCTCTCACATAACCAGCATCCCTTACGTGGAATCTTCTAGAAATTTATGAAAGCATGCAAGGGACATTGATCGCTTTCTGTTTGCCTGATTATACAGTGCTGAAAAAATGCAGAGAATATCACTCAGGATTGCTTTAAAGATTGCGTCAAGGCTACTGGGGTAACCATTTGTTTGCAAATGTTGGACTTGAACCTGACGGTGTTACTTATTACTTCCTTAATTAGTATTGACCAATCTGATGTGAATCAAAGAATAGTGATGTGGCATTTTTGTTAAGCGACCGTCGACACAGATTTGAACTGTTAGAGAAACACATTGGCGTGAACATTATTATCGACACTTGATGTTTTTAGTTTAAAATTAACTAGTGAAGCCATTGCGAACGTTGCACAATATGGTGTAATAATAAATATTGTCAGCTTGAATTTTAGAACGCATTGATGTTAATTGGCATCTGACCATTTAATATAATTAAAGATGTTGTTCATTGCAACAATTCTTTTAATTAAAAGCAGCTTTCGATGGACTTAGCCATCATCATCAGTTGTTCTGCTAGATGGAGGGCCACAAAAACGACTACGAAACGCATGATGGCTAAGCCATCGAAAGCTGCTTTTGAATTAAAAAACATTGTGGCATGACACACATCTTTAATTATTTAA